GAGCAACCGACTCACTGTAACATCCGGAGAAAAAGGGATCGTGAAACAGAATCAAAAACGGAACAATAATCAAGGAGAACACAACGAACGCATTTTTGGGAATCATCTAAAGATTTGCAAATAGAGTGCATTAGTGAAGTGACAGAATCCAAAGTACAACTATGTGGTTTAAACTCAAACTGAAGGGAATCGGACTGCAAGCGGGTGAGAATTACGCGTTCTACCACACTTTTTCCCATCAAGCTTTAGTCAAAACCTGAAATGCTCCATCCCAAACCCACAATCCTTTAGCATTGACCCACATTCCTTTAACCAAAATCCGAAATGCTTTAGCCACGGCTCGCAGTCCTTTAGCCTTGATGCACAAACTCTAGTTGTACCGCTGTAATCGAGTCAGATCAAAGGTATCAGAATATTTTGAAGTAAACGATTGTCGAAGAAAATTCTTTTCTGCGAGCGTTGATGTTTCAAAGCTCGGTTAGGAAAAGGTATCGTCAAACCGTTTGGCACATCTCTTACAGCTTCAGTTTTTCCGTATAACATGCGATACCTCTATGAATAAAACACTCAAATGTAACACTAATGGTACATTGTTCTGCATTCACAAGTGAACTCTGTTCAATAGATGTGGATACATAATCATGCCGAGGGAAATAAGCACTGTTCATAAAAGTACACCCCTGTAACTTTCTAACTATCATTAGTTTATTAACACTGCAATATTTACATTATTACGACGGTCGAGGCTCGATAGTTACAGGTTTTCTCTATAGCTTGTTGGGAAATAATGTGTTAAATGGGGTCTTTTATGAACAGTGTTTATTATCCTCGGTATACTATTGTATCTAAATCTCACAAGTGGAATTCATTTTGATTGGATCTACGGAGCAGTAGACATTTAGGTTTTGTGGTATAACTTTTTAATTTATTTCAGGGCTTAGCAAAATAATGTACCATCTGCGTTACATTTCACATTTTTATTCACAGGATTATCGCATGTTACACAGAAACGCTGAAGCTGTACGAGATGTATCAAATGGTTTGACGATACGGGCACGTCGCTTAAACTTTCTCTACACCTTTTTTTCCTAACCGAGCTTTGCAACATCATCGTTTGTAGAAAATAAATTTTTTCAACATTCGTTAACATCGGAATATTCCGATGCATTTTGGTCTGAATCGCTTGCAGAAGTCTGACTAAAAGTTGTGCGTCAAGACTAAAGGACTACGGGTCGTGGCTAAGGCATTTTGTATTTTGGCTAAAGGATTATGAGTTTTAGCTAAAGCTTGTTGGAAAAAGGTGTAGTTTAAGTCCAGAGGAAGTGAGATCGAAACATGTAGATAAAATGCTACATGAAGATGATTTAGGAATGGGAACAATGGTCAACGGTCTCCAGGAATCCGGAATTGAACATGAGTAAATGGATGAAATGAAGTGACTTTTTACTTCCTTTTTCTATTTATTGAATATACAGATGTACAGTCAACTTCAGGAAGGGGGCTGCGGGTGTACAAAGGCTGCCTATGGAAAATACAGATATAGGAAAGACATGTTAATGTGGCACGCAAATATCTCTGAGAGTGAACCAGCGCCATACTTGAGCATAGACGAAGGTAGACTAACTGCATTAATCATTGTTGTAGTTTTAGAAAGGTGACAGACCTCATTTGTGACCGGGTCTACGGTGGATAGGTAATCTGTGGGGTATGGAAACAGGAGGTTATTGGAAGGGTAAATGAATGCAGAATTAAGATGGTGCACTCAAGTAGTTTTGTTTGTTTTCCGCTTCTTTTATCCACACAGCAATCGGATTCATTGCCGTAACCGTCTTCTATCTCCAGCTGCTTTGCGAATGAAGCATTCGGTCTTTTGATTTCTGCCCTGATTTGCTATGTCAGCCGTTCGACAGTGGCTGTTTGATGTTTTTCTTGAACGCTTGTTATTTTCGTCTTCTAAGAGCTTTTAGCCGCGGTGCGCATTCTTGGTCAGTATGAACAAAAACTGTTTCCATAGGATAGTACAAATTGAAAATCACATTAGCTATTTCCGTAAAATGTTCAACAGAACTGGGAGATTGTTGGGCGTAAACCACGAGGAGATGACGGTAGAATGTTTCCTTATGAAACGAGTCTGTCAATTAAAAGATTTTAAATTTTCATGTTCATTTGTTTGAATGAAAGCGGGGTGCACCAACCGAGAGTAAAAGTTTGATCTAAGGCATAGGAGACAGTTTCAGTTTCAGTTTGGACAACCACTAACCATGAACTTTCGTGCGCCGGTTTTGGTTGCTGTCCTTCGGCCCATTTGAATGAAGAATAGAAGACAGGAAAGTTGAAAGTAGAGTCGAACAGAAAATGGATAATTTCAGTGGTCTAAGGTTGCAAAGAAATTGAGAAGATTCACGAACGCCACTGTTTACCACTCCCAGCCAGATCACCCAGTGTCTGAGACAGTGTTCGCTAGTGGAGATTGATGTCTTCAGTTTGAGAGAGAAATATTAGGATGGTTAATGATGACGATGTCCAATACAGCATCTCCTCTGGTGGGTATTAGAGAGAACTGATAAGCCGAATAAAAGTAAAGTTTTGGTGAACCCATGAATAAAATCACCTCCAATTAAAATTAAATTATCAATATCTAGGGGAGCAATGAAAGGAATAAGTGCATCGCAGAGGGAGCTGGTTTCGGTTTGTGAGCAAGAAGGGGCAATGTAGAGATTGTTAATAATTGTTCTCCGAAAAGGGGAAAACCTAGGTCGACATGAAACAGTTAGGTAGTCAATACCATAATAGGAGAAGGCAAACAATGTTTCGGACTTGCCGCACCAACTGGAGTTAATGTAGGTTATTACCCCACCTCCGGACTTCGTTTTCCTTTCTCTGTCTTGCCATAAACTTGCAAAACCAGGTATGTTGACCAACAAACCGTCTCTGTTTTGGTTTAACCACTGTTCCTTTATACAAGTTAGTAGATAAGTGAGTTCAAGCAATTTGCTAAACAGAGAACGAATGTTGGAACTGACCAATGAGAGAACCGTCATCTTCACAGGAGGACTGTGTGCAAGAGCGGTCTGCCACCCGGTACGCTTGCGTTTCTAACAGAAAATCCAGTTAGGATAGAATCATGTGAGTTTGATGACGAAGAACAGTAATAAATATCCTTTTGTCGTGGTATTGATTCCCTGGGATACGAACGTCTCCAGAACATTGTAGAAAACAATGAATAAATTCTAATGCGAGACTGATTACATATTTGGTCGGGAAGCTATACGTCGATGTTTTTAAAGGACATAGTTACCGGGCTTAGCGTACCGTTGATTCGATTGCTCACGTTTTCTCAACGGTTTGATAATTAGGCACATCCCAATCTGAGACTAATTCGAAGTCTTGATTGGTGAATCTATGTGCTCTCATTTCCCTCGTTGGTAGGCTGTTATTTACTATTGAGAACAGCTTTGACAATAAGTGTCCTGGTGGTAAGGCCTCGTTTGACAAATTATTCATTATGAGGAGCTCGCTAAACAACAAACTTTAGGTTCAAGCCATTGATCCAATCACTCCAAAAAAGTCCTTCTGTATAAAATTCAATCATGATAAAAAATTAC